ATTTCCCCATTAGGAGATTTTTTTCAAGAGGGGTTTCCAAACAAATGGGCTCCTTACCAAACAAAATGGTGTTCAGATGCCAACTGGGGTCTTCAGTACTCACTGTGCCTCCATACAGTTCACCATGCACAAGGGTGTATTAAAACAAGTACATTAACACATATACACCTTGCTAAAATAGTTGAATCGTTTCATTTTTAATGATATTTACCTTCTAGGTTCCAGTAGTGTCACAACCAGTCCAGTCTTTGGCTGGATCACAGAAGGGGGAGCACAGGGCCATCCTCCTCACTTGCTGCGTGTTTATTATGCTTGTTGCCGACACTCACTTCTTCTCTCTGATGTTTTGGCTTTTGGAAGGGCCCTTGGTGTGCTTACTTACAATGCAGGGTTGCATACCTCCCAACTTGTTGAGATGAGAAAGAGGGCCACCTTTAAGCACAATTGTGAGAATGTATTCAAACTGGAGCAGTTCCCGTGGCAACCAATCAATTTGTTCAGTTAAGATTTGAAAATGAAAGAGAGAAGCCGATTGGTTGCCATGCACAGCTGCTCCAGATTTTTTCTGCTCCAGTTTTGATAAATTCACCTCAATGTATTTAGTGCCAAAATGACTGGTTAACCCCAGATTAGATAAGATAAAGGTTTTGGTGAAGAATAACACTTTTGGTAGTTAAATAGAACCTCATACGGGGACAAAGAGATTTGGTTCCGAATAAGGGACAGTTGGAAGGTATGCTGATGGTCCTGCATTGCATGTGATGACATCAAAGTTGTGATCACCGGTGTAAGAGCATTGAAGAGAAGAGGCTATAGGGCACCAGTCACATGGAAAAAGGAGCCTGTGAGTGTAAGGGAAACAAATATGCTTTTTAATGGTACCCCAGGCAAAAAATTAGCATTTAACTCTTGATGTGTGGGGGGTCACATGCAAGGGGTCCATGGAGTTCAGCTTTAACCATCTAGTGTGTATAGTTATTAAGCCATGTAAAGGCTAATGGGTGACTCATGTCTTGAAAACCATGGTGCTTTAAATCCTATCCTTCTGGTTATACCAGTTCCTGTCCACTAGACGGCGATGTCTACCTTTCTCATAGTCCAGGTATTTGGTACTCTCAGCCTGCTGTAGCTTATTGTACATAGGGTTCAGTGCAGCCTTTTTTAGAACCAGTATGTTGCAGGTTTCACAGTCTACAATTGGTCTACAAAATGTAGTTACACTTTAATCTGTAAATTATTCAACCTGAACACAATAAAATAGGGTTTCTGTTACTGGGGTCTCCATCATGGCAAGTCTGATGTGTACAAATGCTCACTAAAAGTAGGATCATCACTTCTAGGGCTTTTAAATATAGAAAACAAATTTTAAAAGCATGCATGCCCTCCTTCACTCTCGCTGCTCCCCCTACCATAGGATGCCACCCTACACACATGAGGTACCGTGTGCTAGCTGGTATCCGCCTGGTAAGGGGAGCATTGAGAGTGCAGCTTGCCCACCCCTGTCATATCCTTCAGCATTAGGAGATTGCTTGGAGAGGGGTTCATTAAAAAACAAGTTGGGGTTTCCCCTTACCTAAATTTCAATGACACATACGTTCTGTTATGCGAAACAGAAACACTCCACATCACAGTAAGTTAGGTATTATAACCTTTAAATAAATATGAAATCTAACATTCCAAAACCATGTATTTCGTGGGGTTTATATGAGGCACATAGGTGTGTTTTATGATGAACATAATTTATTTCCTACAAAAGACTTATAATCAAAACCAGCATAAAAACAATTAAACTCAGTTATTTCCCCTCACGTGGTAGTACATTGCCTATTGTTGGATGGAATTGAACATTGGCAACCTTCTTCTGAAATTGCTAGTTGCCTGGCTCATATGTTCATTCTCTGTTTCCAGTGCTTATTGAGTCTCTATGCTCGATGTAGATCAGAATTAATCAGCAAAGTGTAAGAGGGTAAAATACATATCTAAAAGCAACAACATACAGCGCTGAATCACTCCAGAGAGACTGGATTTACATACTGAAAAGCAGTTTGATCGCTTGACCTGCTTATTTATGTTATTTTTCTAACATATCTGATGAGACTCCAATTGTGGGTTCGTCTTTGGGTAGCAGTTTATGGAATATTCTCTGATGAGTGAAGAAGATTCTCTGATGAGTGAAGAAGATTCTCTGATTAAACAGACTTTTACACAATTCCCCCCTTTATTTTTGCACATGAACTGTGTACCATCTTATATTGATATATAGTATGCTTACTATTTTATATTTTTTTTAATTCACTTTGCATTTGTCGGTTTTGTTTTGTTTTTTTTTAATTAATATTTATGCCACTTAGCACTTTATCTTAAAGGATTTTTGCAGATATAACTGAGGTATGTGGGGTGATTTAGCGCTTTATTTGATAGCGTTTTTATTTTGGCATTTATTTGTATATTTTCGTATATATTTTGTATATTTTTACACTTTTGTTGTTGATAGAACTGCAATGGCAATTTAGATTGCACTCTAGTACTATTAACACTATGATTATATTGTGAATTTAAAATCTACATTTGCATACTTCGTCTTGGTCAGCGATTGAAAAGAATAAGACAAGGTGACAGCCAGGCAGGTGGCATTTTGAGAGGTCCAGAAGTCGGGAATGGTAGCCCACGTAGTTTTATGGTTTCCTTCAATATAAAGCAGATTGTATAGAGATACTACAATCAGACGTGTGTGGCCAGCTTTAAGAACAAAAACAAGGATCTTACCTGTAGCACTCCTACACAAACCAACTGTTATTTTTGCAGGTTAGAGGATAAAAGCAAACATCTGATCATTCTAAAGGTCAATGCAAATGTTCTTTACTATCAATTGATTCGTGTGTTTTAGAAAGGTGTTAGTATCCCAACATAAAAGAGACCAGAGCCTTAAAGCAGGCAGCAGCAGTAAAATGTGTGCTGCAGGGCACCCCTGAAATACATTGGGGGGGGGGGATTTATTAACACTGGAGCAGACACAATCTGGAGCACCTGTGCGTGGCAACCAATCAGCTTCTCTCTTTAGTTTGGTCAGTTAAGATTTGAAAATGAAAGAGAGAAGATGATTGGTTGCCATGCACAGCTGCTCCAGATTTTGTCTGCTCCAGTTTTGATAATTTCCTCTCATACTGTCTCCTGCAGTGGGTTTGGGGTCTGGAAGAAATATATTGGCCTGCGCATGCAGAGCATCTCACCAAAGATCAACAGGTATTCACATTCCCTCTCCATCCCTCCTAGTTGTGAGCTGTTGGCACTTGCAGCATTTTTTTTAACCAATAAGGGTGTTAATGGTCAAATGCGCTTTTTTTTTTTTTTACTTCACATTAAAGGGATAATTGTCTCAAGGTCACAAAGAAATGTTCCAATATGGTAAACCTTTTTATGAAATGACAGTTTGAAGATCCTGTCACTGCATCCCTCATGGGCCCCACATAGCCCATGTTTACATCCCTTAAATATTGGCCCATTCTATAGCAGCCATACTGAGTAAGGGCAGCAGTCCTTCTGTGTTACCCTCCTCACTGAGATGATAATAATTACAGATCTGCTCTAGAAGTTAAGTGGGGCTCATAGAGAAACATTACAGATGATGAACAGCCAACAGCAACTCTCCATCTATTTTCATAGTGTGATCACTATGAGGAGGGCAATGACTGTCATTCAGAGAACAAAGACTGCCATTTCACCCTGAGATATTGATCTGACAATAAAAGGCTATCTTATCCTGAGATGAGAAACACCTCAGTGATTAGGTTCAGATTGAAAGTGATCGTTGTTGCCATTTCTGATTCTCTGTGTTTCAAAGATTCAGAGTTGGGTATAGTCATCCTGATCCTCGGTTTCCTACAGTGAGTCACTGACCTGGTACCAGGACTTGCTGGATGGTAGTTAAGATTTGTCAGACATAACTGGCTACATCCTTGTTCCAGATCACTGGAGAAGCTGATTGGATAATGAGGCCCCTGACCTTGTACCTATGATACTTACAGATGCTGTGTAATAGTTCCTCATTACCGTTCGGTGTTATACAATCAGCTGATTTAGTAGAGAAATAAAGGGTGTCCACTGAGCACAATGAGACTTTTATCAAGTCCAAGCCCTTCCTTCTCTCTACACATAAAGAGAACAAGTGAATACTGGCACACTGTGAACATTCACTACTCCTTTAGTAAACCTGCTACAATGTATCATCCTAGGACCTAGTCTGTGCAATCTGCGGAATTATTACCACTAATCTCAGATACTTAGACACTTTATAGGTATTTATCAAAACATACTAAACCTCTTTTACGTATAACATGATTTTTTTATGCATAACATTGACACTGGGACGTAGAAAACACGAAAAATATTGTTGTTTTTTTTTAATTGAATCTTGCAAGGAATTTTTAATGGTTTTTAATGTTGATGTATTTAGCGTAAGATAAAGACGGTAGAATGCCCAGCACTATCAGGACACTGCTTGTTAATATATGGATGGATAAAACATGCCCAATATGATACAAAAAAAACAGACGATGCACAAATCTTCTGCTTGCTGAATATTGTTTTTATCAAAAAAAAAATATTATTATTGTTATTCTTATTCTTATTATTTGTATTGATATTATTATTATTATTATTATTATTATTATTGTTGTTGTTGGTATTAGTATTATTATTACATTCGATATCTTAGATGTAGCGTCCATGATTGCTGCGTACAAAACTCTCCCTAGTATGGTCCCCTCATCAAGAGATGTGTCTGGAGAGTGTCATGGAATGGAGGTGGGGGGTCCTACACTGACAGACCCTCATCCGATCACTTCCATGTATGCAAATCTTCTACAAACCACAATCTTCACATTCTTCAAAGGAGACGGTTATTTTTCCGATCGTCTTCCTCCATTCTGTAATATAGAATCCGTGATACCGAACCCTAGATATCACACCGCACGAAAAATTCTTAAGCATCAAAAATGATAACAGAATCTATTCTCCCCTAACATAAGACACTCGGTGTATAGATATTGCGTTTAGTGACATAAATTGCGTGTGTACAATTGTATACAGTAAATATCAATCCTTTCTGGTTGTGTTAAGTATAAAAATCTGCTTACCTATTTTTTTTATTGTTAGATGAAAGGAAAACTGAATTGCATTTTGGCAATGTACAGATAACATTTGGGATTCTATGTAAGCAGTAAAAATCTCTCTCTATATATCGATAAAAGATATATATCTATATATATCTAGATATCTAGATCTAGATATCTAGATATATCTAGATATATCTAGATATATCTATATGTATCCTTCTCTCTTTCTTTCTATCTCTATATACATGTATATATATAATCGATTTAATTTTATTTTTAACAGATGTGGGAATTACACAAAAAAAAATCAGTATATAAATATATCTATCCCTTTACCGTTCTCTATGTCTTTCTTTTTATATTTATATCTACAATCTGGCTAACTATTTTGAATCTTAACCGATGTGGGAAATACCTATATATTCCTGTAATATGTTTTCACAATGAGTATCTTAACATTAGTTATTCTGTGTAAACAGTGAAAATGTAGCTTTCTTTTTCTCTCTTTACTTATATACAGTATGTATGTGCTATGTCTGACTTTAATAGATAGATAGATAGATAGATGATAGACCCTTTTCTCATGTATTGTGACATCAGGTTTCTCTGTTTCCATCCTTGGGTAAACACGACACAAAGCGACTTGTTGAGGTTTTTCTTCCGTTTTATTAGGAACAATCAAGAAGATGGCACACTTGTGTGCTGGAAAACATCGCCCACGTAGGAGTCGTGTCTTCCCAGCACAGACATTCATAGAGCTACACAGAAAGAAGGTGATGGAGGGAGCTGGAAAATAACAGACGACATGCAGCTGGGCCAGAACAGAACAGAAAGTGTGGAAGGACCCAGTGATCAAACAAACAGAACAGGGGCCACTGAGATCCTCATTATCCCCATAAAGACATTGAACACATTATTTACTCCAACAATTGTCGACAAATGTGTACTGCTATTAACACCATACGACTGTCACAGAACACTGCTGTAGAAAGACAGAAAATAGAAAGCATACCTCCAACATACAACTAATAGCTAGGTTCGTTGTGCCATGAAATAATATTAATAATAATAATCATCATCATCATCATCATCATAATAAAAAAACGAAAAATAATTTCTGAAATTGAAACAAGTAATAAATAGGTTATTATTTCACCCGGAGGAGACGTGACAGTCCTGTAAGAGACAGGCAGTGCCTGCAACACAGTGCAAATCATTGTGATAAATAAATATATGACTGGGGAGGGTGGGCAGTGGAGATGTGGCAGGCCAGGGCAGGTAGAAGGGGGTCACAGAGGCAGCACGACTTAGGGGAAGCCTTGCTCTGCCCTGGGCCGGTCTCTGTACACACCATTGGCATGGTGGATGGATGGTTCAGGCAGTCTACATTGAATCTGCTGGGTGCTTAGCCCATTGGCACCCTGGCCACACCCGGTGGCTGGTAGCAGTCAGTGGTCCTTGGTGCTGGAGTCTGCACTCATCATGCTTATCCAGAAGCTGCCCAGGCCTGAGGACACCTATACAGGTGCTGAGCTGTCCTTGGCAGTCCATGTGGTCAGGTCGTTGTGAGTACAGGCAGCGGAACTAATACCGATGATGGGCCCGTTCAGAACATGCCCTTCACTAGGCTGGGTTTGGTAGTATTGGGTCTCTGCAGGGATGATAAGACGCTGGCGAATGGACCTCCTAAGGAGTCAGGGATAGAGGTGATGGTGCCTCCTGGACCGGTTGCCCAGCCTTGTGCCCCTCCAGAGGCCCCGACCACCGATGCTGACGTCAGACCCGCAGAACCTTGCACTCCACCTTTGACTTGTTCCTGGGGCCCCACTGTGCCCTGGGAGCCCGTAGGGCTGGGGCCTCCTCCGCAGCTCGGGGTGGGGTTGGGGTTGTTACCTGGGCCCCCAGTGCTGTCAGGGTCGGTGATTTTGTTGTCTTTGTTGTCATCCTCCCGCGAGGAGTCTGACTTCT